TCCTAGGGTGAAAGTATTAAACTGAGGGAAGGCTAACTATCACAATATTGGGAAGTATCTGAGGAAAGTAGATTGGGGGCTAAATCCACATCTGTCATGTGGGAAGCCTTTAAAGGCCAGTTGATTAGAGTTCAGGGCCAGTATGTTCTTGTGAAAATGAAGGATAAGGATGACAAGATTCAGGGACCTTGGATGATAAGAAAACTTGTAAGCTTAGTCAAAAAAAAAAGGCATATGTAAGATTTAGGAAACTGAAGTCAGAATATAAAGAAAGCAGAAAAGAACTTAAACAAGGATTTAAGAAATGTCCTTGGCCAACAGGATTAAGGAAAATCCCAGGATGTTTTGTATATATATAAGGAGCAAGAGGGGAACAAGGGAAAGGGTAGATCCACTGAAGGAAGGAAGGAGGCAATTTATGTGTGGAGCTGAGGAAGCGAATGAGGTCCTTAATGAATATGTTGCATTGGTATTCACAAAGGAGAAGGGCATGGTGGATAGTGAGATGGGTACATTGATATTCTAGGGAATGTTGATATAATGAGGAGGCAGCATTGGGTATTTTGAAAACCATTAATTTAATCAAATCACCATGACCGGATGGCGACTATCCAAGAATATGGAGGCAGGCAGGTGAGGAAATTGCTCAGAGATAGTAGGAACTGCAGATGCTGGAGAATCAGAGATAACAAGGTATAGAGCTGGATGAACACAGCAGGCCAAGCATAGGCACCTTGTTATCACTCACATTTGTCTGGATTAAGTTTCATCTACCATTTCTCTGTCCAAGTCTCCAGCGTACCTATCTCCTGCTGTATCCTATGGGAATTCTTCTCACTATCAGAAGTTCCCCCTATCTTGGTGTTGTGCTAAAACGTACTAATCAACCTATCTCCATTCTCCTCCACATCATTTATATATACTACAAACAACAGGAGTCTTAGCCCTGATCCCTGCAGAACACCATGGCCACAGATCTCCGGTCAGGAAAACACCCTTCAACTGCTATTCTCTGTCTTCTATGGTCAAGCAATTCTGTATCCATTTGAGCAGCTCACCACGGATCCCATGTGACTTCACCTTCTGTATCAGCCTGCCATAAGGACCTGGTCAAAGACCTTGCTAAAGTCCATATAGATAACATCCAGGTCCCTGCCCTCATCTATCATCTTTGTCACTTTCTCAATAAACTCAAGTTTGTGAGACATAGCCTTCCTTGCACCAAGCCGTGCAGCTTATTGCTAATAATCCCATATTTTTCCAAATGTGAATAAATCCTGCCCTTAAGAATCTTCTCCAATAATTTCCCTATCACTGATTTAAGACTTGCCAGCCTGTAATTTCCCAGATTATCCCTGTTGCCCATTTTAAACAAAAGAACAACATTGGCTATTCTCCAGTCCTGTGGGCCCTCTCCTGTGACTAAAGAGGACAAAAGATTTTGTACAAGGCGAGCAATTTCCTCAGATAACAAGGTGTAGAGCGGGATGAACACAGCAGGCCAAGCAGCATCAGAGGAGCAGGAAAGCTGACGTTTCGGGTCTGGACCCTTCTTTCTGCAGAAAATTTGAAAATGAAGAAATGAAGAAAACAAAATTCTGAAAATTTCTGCAGAAGGGTGCAGACCCGAAACGTCAACTTTCCTGCTCCTCTGATGCTGCTTGGCCTGCTGTGTTAATCCAGCTCTACACTTTGTTATCTCAGATTCTCCAGCATCGGCAGTTCCTACTATCTCCAAATGTGAGTGATGCATTTTGGAAGGTCTAATACTGGAGGGAGGTATACAGTAAATGGCAGAACCTTGCATTAACCCTGCATAGCATTAACATACAGAGGGATCTAGGTGCCAGGTCCACAGTTCCTTGAAAATAACAACACAAGTGGATAAGGTAATCAAGAAAGCATATGGCATGCTTGCCTTCATAGAGTCGTACAGCATGGGCCCTTCAGCCCAACTTGTCCAAGGTGACCAGGTTTCCTAAACTAAACTAGTCCCATTTGGCCCATATCCCTCTAAGGCTTTCTTATCCATGTACCTGTCCAAATAGCTTGTAAATGTTTCAATTACACCCACCATCAGAGCAGTTGGTTGAGTGCAGAACTGAAAACCAAGACTATGAACTACGACATCTTTGACTTAAAAGCGGCAATGGAAGTTTTGTATTCATGCAATTGGGAGAGCAATAAAGATTAGAAATGTAGTATGGAAGAACAGATTCAGAATTCAAGCAAGTGAGGATTTCACCACCTCGAGCACTTCCTCTGGCAGCTACATATGCACCACTCTCTGTGTGAAAGCGTTGCCCCTCAGGTTCCTTTTAAGTCCTTCCCCACTCACTTTAAACTTATGCCCTCTAGTTCTGAACTCCCCTAGCCTACAGAAAAGACCTCGGCTATTCATCTTTTCTACGCCATGCATCATTTTATAAACCTTTATAAGGTCACTCCTCAGCCTCCTGCACTCCAGGGAAGAAAGTCCCAGCCAATCCAGCCCCTTCTTATAACTCAAACCTTCTAGTCTCGGTAACATCTCTGTAAATCTTTTTTACGCCCTTTCCAGTTTAATAACATCCTTCCTCTAGCAGGGTGACCTGAATTGTACTCAGTACTCCAATGTACATACCGTTGTCTTGTACAGCCATAACATGACGTCCCATGTTCATTGGTCGGGACACAGAGAATAAAAATTGGCAAGTCATGTAGCAGCTGTATAGGGCTTTAGTTAGGCCAGATTGGGCATATTGCTTGCGGTTTCGAGTGCCACACTACCAGAAGGATGCGGAGGCTTTGGAGAAGGTACAGAAAAGGTTTACCAAGATGTTGTCTGGTTTGGAGGGTATTAGCTATGGAGGAGAGATTAGCCAAACTTGATTTGCTTTCATTTGAATGTCAGAGGCTGAGAGGTGACCTGATAGAAGTTTACAAAATTATGAGAGGCACGGATAGTTGAGTCTTTTCCCCAGGGTAGAAAAGTCAATTACTAGAGGATGTAGGTTTGAGGCAAAAGGGTAAATTTAAAGAATGTTCAAAAGGTAAGCTTTTTACACAAAGGGAGGTAAGCACCTGGAATGTGCTGCCAGAGGGAGCACGCTGCATATATCTAGCACCATCCGAGTGAAAGAAATTTTCCTTAGATCTCTTCCAAACTAGTTACTCCTCACCTTAGTATGCTGTCTGGCCTTAGACACACTGGCCTTTGGGACGATCTCCTCTCCTCATTTCCTCAACTGGGACAGAGACATGCAATTAGGCATCTCCCCCTCCAGGTGGCTTTAGATACCTCTAGTTGTGTTCCAGCTAGTCCTCAGTGAGAGAGAGGAAGGGGTGGGAAGGAATGTGAGAGCAAAGGTGTTACAATGTGTTTAGGTGATATTGTTATCACGGCTGAATAGCTGCAACACATGCAAGCTATGAAATGTGAATGTGAGGTGTGCAGCAGCTCTAGTGTGAGAGGATGACATGAAGAAATCCAAAACAAAAAGGACTTGCAGTTTATATAGTGCTTTTCACAACCACCAGATATCCCAAAACATTTTCGAATCAAGTACTTTTGGTGGGTTGTAATGTTAGAAACACAGCAGGCAGTTTACGTACAACAAGCCTCCAGCAATATTAGCATGACAAAGTCACCTGTTTTTGTAATCTGTTTGAGGAATGACTATTCGTCAGGACACTGGGAGCAAAGTACTCCTGCTCCTTCAAACAGAGCCAGGAGGTCTTTGATTGAGTGCAGACGTGGCCTCAGTTTAACATCTTATCCAAAGGTATCACCACTGATAGTATAGTGCTTTCCCAATATTACACTAAAGCATTAGCCTCTACTTTTGTGTTCAGTTCTTGGAATGACACTTGAACTCACACTGATTCGGAGGCAAGGATGCCACCAATGTAAATGCTAGGAATTACTGATACACATTGTTGCTGCATTAGTTTGGTCCATTCAGCAGGGTCTGAGACTAGTGGTGCAGTTGGTGGAATAAGGCTTCTGAAAATGCATTCACTGAACTTGACCACTCCTGAGGGCACCACACCTCTTGTGGCACTGTATCCATACCCTGGGCACTACACCCTAGCAGTGATTACCTGATTACCTTCTGAGAATTTGTCTGGAGGTTCTCCTGACCCATGCCAAACTGGATAGAGAACCTTTATCCTCCTCAACCAAGATCTCTGGTGCAACTTCAGTAAATCTTGGAGCCTGCTCTCTGCCATGTGTCTTTTCCAAGTCAAAATCACATTTAGAACAAGTTCCAGCACCTGCTCCAGCCTACGTGCACCTCTGCCTTAAGAGGTAGTCTGGCTTGTAGTACAACTAGCTTGTACTCCTCACAGCCTCTTTTGGTTTTGCAACAGGTTACATGCACAATCTAAGTGATGTTTCCGAGCATATCCTCAACTGTCCATCGAACAGTTTGTTCACACAACAAAATACCTAGGTTTCAGAATATGGTGATCAACCTAATCTCTTTAAAAGAGAATACCTATTGCCAGAGATAAAGCAGAGCTTTATTAATCTTCCTTTTGATAAACACAATGCTGAGATAAAGGTCAGTTATATCATAAAGCCAGCTTATTTTACAGATTGTATATGACTGAGTAATGTACTAAATAGTGAATTTTACCTTATTCCTTAAAGCATCCTAAAATATTTAAAGTTGCAAAACACATCACACTACCCATTTTAACTTGCTCACTTAATTTCTTTACATTAGTCTTTTTTTATTGGAAACAGAGCGGTAGTTTTCCCAAAGTGCAATGATTTATACACTTCTTGTAAAGTACCTTCGAGCGTTTCATTGAACACAAATCCAAGTTGTTATTGAAAATCTGGAATTCTTAATAACAAACTACAATAAGCCAAAAGTCAGAAAAAATAAGCCAAAGGTGATTCACTTCCAATGAAATGACAAGGCTGGGCTTTTGGCATTTCTTTAACAAGGGTATCCCAATTCAGAAAATTAAACTTATTCAGATATCCATTTCCAAACCTTCATTCATACCATTTTGTTCATCAACTTCCTCATTGAGCAGGAAGGCCATGTGATAATTCCTGATATTCTTTGGGTAGAGTTTCTCCAGCTCACACACTGGGGGGTAATGGGTAACAAATAGCGTCAGGGATTTCACCTGAAAGTAAATTGTAATACATTATTACAACATTCTGTACAATCAGCACCACTGAACTCCATAGTTAATAAATACACATAGCATTAGAAAAGCAGGATCACTTAATATCCTGATGAACTTGTAAGAAATTAAAGGACCTGCAGCAAAATATAAAAGTAAATCCCTGGTTTGCTCATTGAAAAGCATATTTATCCCTTGTTATTTACAACAGGAGTAGTGGCAACCTCTCAGTATTAGCAAAACACAAGCCTCTGATTAATACTGCCATTAAAATGATGGCACGGAAAGCTCATTAAGAATTAGGTGATAACCAGCAATTGCTGTGATTAAGGTTAATAGCTTATCACTTGTGAAGAAAAGGAGGGGAGGATAAAATTGCTCTGACTGTCTGAGTTTATAAAGGCTACAAATTCAACAGAGGGGGCTTGGTGGCACAAGGGGTAGCCTCCTAGCCTCTTGAGTTAGGTTCCAGTCTCACTCCAGGACTTAATGTCTAAGAAATTTTAATTCACAACAAGGCTAAACAGCTCAATCATCAACCCGCAAAATCTTTCCAACACACCAAGAGCAGGACAGATCCTAGCCAGCATAGGATGGAAAGAAATTTGGAGCCTCTACCATCACTGACTCCCAATTATAACTTCCATGAAAAAGTGAGATACAGTGCTTGGTGTTCCGGTGCAAAGATAACAATCTCTCCCCCAGTGTCAGCAAAACTAAAGGGCTGATCATCAATTTCAGGAACAAAGGAGGAGGACACACCCCAATCTACACCAATGGAGCCGAGGTGGAGATGGTCAAGACTGTCAAGTTCCTAGGAGTGACGGTAACCGACAACCTGTCCTGGATTAGCCACGTAGATGTGATGGTTAAGAAAGCACAACAACGCCTCTTCTTCCTCAGGAGATTAAGGAAATGTGGCATGTCCAGAAGGACCCTCATTGACTTTTACAGATGAATCATTTAAAGCATTTTATGTGGGTACATCACAGCTTGGTATGGCAACTGCTCTGCCTACAAACAAAGTTGTGAACACAGCCCAGACCATCACACAAGCCAACCTCCCATCCACTGACTCCATCCATACTTCTCGTTGCTGCAGAAAAGCAGCTGACATAATCAAAGACCCCTCCCAAAGATGCCAGTAATACTGTCTTCCAACCTCTTCCGTCAGGCAGAAGATATAAAAGCCTGAATGCATGTACCAACAAGTTCAAGAATTCTTCCCTCCTGTTATTATACTGCTGAGATCTCAAATTTCAAATCTAATGTTGATCTTGGTTTTGTACACCTCCTGTGCATCTGTAACTTTCTGTGCCTCGATCTGTTCACCCTATGGTCTGTATGTCTTTGTATGTTATGATCTACTTGTACTGCATGCAAAACAAAACTTTTCACTGTACTTAGGCACATGTGACAACAATAAATCAAATCAAAAAGTACATGCTGTTGCAGGAACTCTGACTCCATGTGATCGCTCACACTACTCCATAATCTTGCAGCTGGGCAAAGATAACCAGCAATCCTAGTCTGATTATCATTTATTTTAGAAATTGCAGCCATTAAAAAGATAAGGCAACTCATAGTCACCATTTAATTTTCTATATATCTGACAGTAAAAGCCTAGAATAAATGATATCTCCTCAGTCTAGTCTCATGCACACATTCAGACATTTACAGCAAAGAAAGAGGCCATTTGGTCCATGTTGTAGACACCAGTCACCAAAGAGATGACTACACTAATCCCATTTTCCAGCTGTTGGTCTATATCTCGTGGAGGTATGGCAACACAAGTGAATGTCCAGATACTGCTTAAATATATTGAGAATTTCGGACTCGGCCAACCTTTCAGGCAGTGAGTTCCAGACTCCCACCACACTCGAAGTGCAGTAATGTCTCTTCAACTCCTGACTTAGCCTTCTATTGCTTACCTGAAATCAATGCGGTCTTGCTCTTGAAACAAAAACAGAATTTGCTAGAGAAACTCAGCAGGTCTGGCTCCATTTATGGAGATAAAGCGGAGTCAACATTTTAGGGCCATACCGTTTCATTCATCAACTTCCTCATTGAGCAGGAAGGCCGTGTGGCAATTCCTGATATTCCTTGGGTAGAGTTTCTCCAGCTCACACACTATGGGGTGGTGGGTAACAAATAGTGTCAGGGATTTCACCTGAAATCTTGCATTCTGAAGTGGAGTCAATAGACCTGAATTGTTAATTCCGCTTTCTGTCCAAAGATGCCGCCAGTCCTGCTGAGTTTCTCCAGCAATTGCTGTTTATGTTTCAGATTTCCAGCATCCGCAGTTCTTCGGTTTATTATACTGCTTGTTATTGACTCGTCTACTAATTGAAAAAAAGTGTCTTCCTATCCACCCTATCTATGCCCCTCGTAATCTTAAACATCACTAATCTAAGGAAAACAATCTCAGCCTCTTCAATCTTTCCTTATAGCTCAAACCCTCGAGCCCAGGCAGCGTCCTGCTAACTCTGCTGAATAGCAGGGGAATTGAGTTTAAGAGCCGTGAGTTATGCTGCAGCTCTATAAAACTCTGGTTAGACCACACTTGGGATATTGTGTTCAGTTCTGGTCACCTCATTATAGGAAAGACGTGGAAGCTTTAGAGAGGGTGCAGAGGAGATTTACCAGGATGCTGCCTGGACTGGAGGGCAGGTCTTACGAGGAAAGGTCGAGGGAGTTAGGGCATTTTTCATTGGAGCGAAGAAGGATGAGAGGTGACTTGATAAAGGTGTACAAGATGATGAGAAGCATAGATAGAGTGGATAGTCAGAGACTTTTTCCCAGGGCGGAAATGGCTGTTACAAGGGGGCATAATTTTAAGCTGATTGGAGGAATGTATAGGGGAGATGTCAGAGGTAGGCTCTTTACACAGAGTGGTGGGTGTGTGGAATGCGCTGCCGGCAGTGGTAGTGGAGTCAGATACTTTAGAGACTTTTAAGCGACTCTTGGATAGGCACATAGAGGATGGTAAAATGTCGGGTATGCAGGGTCGATTGACCTGAGTAGGATAATAGGTCGGCGCAACATCGTGGGCCGAAGGGCCTGTACTGTGCTGTACTGTTCTATGTTCTATGTTCTCCTCTGCATTCACATCCTTCCAATCATGTGGTGACCAGAACTGCATCCAGTTGTGGCCTAACTAGCATTTTATACAGTTCCAGCATATCTTCACTGCTCTTATATTCTATACTTTGGCTAATATAGACAAGTATCTCATATGCCTTCTTAATCATTTTCAGAGATCTATTTATAGACACATTAAAATCACTATGATGATTGCACAATGTTCTACAACATTCATGACTCCTCAGATATTGAAGCAGTCTGTGTCCAAATGTAGCAAGAACTGGACAATATCCAGACTTCAGCTGTCAAGTGGCAAATAAAATTCGTACCACACAAGTGCCAGGCAATGACCATCTCGAAGAGAGAGTTCAACCATTGTTCTGTGACATTGCCATTGCTGAGTCACATACTTTCAACATCCTGGTGGTTACCATTGACAAGAAACTCAACTGGACTAGCCATATAAATATACTGTGGTTACAAGATCAGGTAAGAGGCTAGGAATTCTGTAATAACTAACTTACCTCCAGTCTCCCCAAAGTCTGTTCACCATCTACAAACCACATGTTGAGAGTGTGATATAGTTACTCTCCACTTAGCTAGCTAAATGCAAATCCAATAACACTTAAGAAGTTTGACATCTGCCAGGAAAAGACTACTTGATTGGCACCACAACCAACACCTTCAACCTTCATTCTCTTCAACAGTGACACACATTGGCAGCAGTGTGTACCATCTACAAAATGCACTGTAATAACCCAACAGGGGCACCGGCTCAGATACTATCGAAATTCCTGGGATGGAAGAGAGAGGTAAGACCAGAAAGTAATGCGCAGCTGCACTGGAGCAGGTGGTGCCAGGGAGAAGGAACATGAACCTGTTGTAGAAAGCATCAGCTGGAATCCATCCTCACCTTGAGCCCAGGGAGCAGAACCTCAAGAGGGCCCGCTTTGAACAAACAAGGATGCTTTTGCAGCACATGATTTTGCAGCAAGCAATACAGGAGGAGCTGTTGCCGGCATCAAAGTTCCTTTCAGCTGGCACTAGGGAGCTTCAGCGACACAGAGGTTAGTGCTCCAATTACACTTGCATTTTTGACGATTTCCAACAGAAACCAATTGCAAATTGCAATAACTGTGTCTAATACCGATATCTTTTAAACTTAGCACAAAAAATGCACATCATGGTTGTGGATGGAATCATTTGACTCTTTCCACATTTTACTATGTATCATTATTTGCCAGGTTTGCTTTACATGGAAAGAGGTCATAGGAAGCAGGATCAATGTTCTTTTAGAACTATACCGTAACCAAATCCAGATTTACATAGATTGTTGACCCAAAGATTGCGATAGATTGTATCAAAAATAGTCAGTGGTGTCCTGGTCAAACTGAATGTTTTATTATGATAAAGTGCAATATAGAAACAAGTTGTTGTTGTTTTGTACATGCCTAGCTCTATGAACGTGCACTCTCCACTATAGATATTATATCCTTAGATATCTATTATGCATCATCATGTCAGTACTGTGCTAGTGAAAGAGTTGGAAATAAATGACCAGCAATTTTTCTTTGTTAAATATCTGGATGGATGAATATCAATTGTGTCCAAATGATGAAAATTTGAAGGGGAAAGAACACGTAATGTTTATACTTAAAATACTGCATTGCATGGTGTTGCTAAATATGTCAATTAACATTAAGAACACTACTTGTCAAGCGTATCTCATTTGTAGACATCATACGACAGAAACTTAAAAAAAAAGAAAAATAAGCCGACATCGATAATGGTTGGTAATTAAGTGACCATTAAGGAAGTGGAGTTCTAGAATATTCATAGCCACTTCTAACTACCACTTGGCTTCTCTCTAAGGCAGCAGTCACTAGGAGATGTTGGAAAATTACAAGTACAATTAA